GTATTTATACTAATAAACGTTCTTATTGGTATGTAATTTATTTGGTTTTATTTGATATTATTGAATTTTTATGCTTTTGATCAATGACCAAAAAAATGTAACAACAAGTTACATCGAAAAAATCAAAAACCCTGCGATTTTACGAGAAAAACGATGTGTAATAAAGCTCTCCGTGGATTTGAATTTCTCTAATTTGCTTAGTAATTTTATATTTTTCTTTAGAATGTTCTATATTAGAGACTAGAGTATAGGTTTACCATTTAGAATTCTTGTCCATATTGCTGTGAGTGGCACTCATTCAGATCGTATTGTTATCAGTATTATATTTATTCTATAATAATATTAGCTAACTAGCTAACAAAATATATATTATGCTGTATATTATACATATATGTTATTGCACAGAGCCCACTATAGGGCATGATATATTATCAATAGAAATAAAGTATTTGTAACGTGTTCAATACGAGTACCTATACTAATTATATATAATAATATGTTATATAATATGACTATTTATTGGATATTAAATATTAATTTTAATGTAAGACACTAATTATTTCATAAGCTTTGAACGTTTTTTTACACCATTTTAAGTCACTAAAAACAACAATTTCCTAAAAATTAAAATATTTATAAGTGTTAGGAACCAGGTACTAGGTAATAAATTACTTGTCCAAAATTGGATTTTTATAGATCAAATACTCATAATAATTCAAATAATATTAATAATAGATATTTCTTTTGTTTTTCACGGTGCTTTTGAAAACTACTGGGAAATTTTTACTTTTGACCCCCCAAAGTACCAACCAGATTGATTCAATTTCCTGTCGGAAAAGATACTGTTGAAGAAAATACTTTTTACTATCGTAAATGTAGTTAAACGAGGTTACCCCATCCAAATTAATTTAATAACTTAGATGTGAATATGAATATATATACGTAATATGTGTGTGTGTTAATGTGTTATGTACTTATGTATGACTACCCTGCCAGAAATTCTGTGGAATCCTTATAAAATACATCTAAACGTTCGTTATTATCCATCTAATGGAATTTTGGTACTTTGGGGAGTCAAAAGTATAATTTTTTTTAGTAGTTTTCAAAAGTGCCGTGAAAAATAAAAGAAAAATTAACGGGAATTTTTACACACAATCTTTTTTGAAAAAAATAATTTTGGTTTTGGTGCAACCCTTTAATAAAGCATTTTCTGTACACGATAAATATTTCAAAATATTATGATTTGATTTGAACTGCTAAGGAACATTTTCATTTTCCATATTTTTTTAGTTTTTTTTCTAAAAATATCAATAAAATTGTATTTGTTGGTTAAAGAAGCTTGAAAATTAAATAGAGGGCTATTAGTATATTGTTTCAAAGGCAAATGAAAAATATTAAAAATCCTTAGTCACAATTTTTTTTTATAAGCATTTAAAATTCAAAAATTGACAAAATATGGAAAAATCACGAAAATTAGCAAATTATTTTGAGTTGAGAATTCGTAAGAATTTTTCTTTTTAAATCTAAGATTTGAAAATGTAATAACAAGATTCCTTATAAGATTATCTACCTTTATCAAAAAAAAAAAAATGTCTATAAGAAAGTCAAATTAAATTTTTATGAGCGTTCGAAATTCGTAATATTTAAGTATAAACGAACAATTTCAAAATGTTTTAACTTAATGGATTTTTTTAAATCAACTGAGAAAAGCTAAGTTATTTCAATTGTAAATTAAACTATTTAAGTTCATAAGTTGATTAGAAAATAAACTTACTAGTTAAGTTAAAAAGTTAAAAAAAATTAACTTTTTAACTGAACTTTAACTTTTCAACTAGTTAATGCCCACCTTTGTATACTAGTAGGGATTCAGGCTTCAGATTCCCCAAATCACAAACGCTATTTGCGCCTATGCTACCTATGCTACCTGCCCAAACATAATTTATTTTAAGAAATATTCTTGAATGTTATCCAAGTATGATTATTCCCGTTAGTTGTATGTATACAAAAATATGTGTACTGAAATTGACGCATATTAATATGCAAAAATATGACGTTTCAAACTTTGTACTTAATTTACCATTTTATAAAACAAATTTATAACTTATCTAGAATAGGTAATGTATGACCACTATAAAAAAATGCAAGAAGCCCCAAATCTACAGATGAGTTATGAAAGTTATGAATTAATAATTACATTATTCCATTCTTTGGGGTGGGAGGTCGAGACTCGGGAGTGTGTGTTTTAAGTGTTAAAGCAAGCACCCACACTGCCAGCCCACCAGTCAATGTTTATTTAGTGTTATAGTATAATATTGTATGAACTATAGTATTAACCAAGGATGGGCATTAACGAGTTAATAAGATACATTTAACCAAGTTAATTAAAGAGTTACTTTTTTTTTAGAAGTAACTTCTAACTTAACGAGTTACATTTTCCCCATGTTATTCAGTAATGTGAAGAGTTAATTAATTTTATTGGCAAGTTAAGTTAATTTTTTCCCAAACCACATATTTAAAATAAATTCAATTTTGTTAAATTAATTAAATAAAAAAAAAACCGAAATATTAAATATATTTTAGTAAATAATAATTTATAATAATAGGAAGTTATTTTATTGCATATCCACAGAAAATTCAAAATATTATATAAATATATTATAGACAGAAATGTTATAGGGGTAACAGCGTCATTTATTAAAAAAAAATATAACAATTTACTCAGTACCTACCTATACATGACATATTATAACCTAGCCTATACGTTATACCTAATCATTATTAGTGTTATTACTTATTATACTTGTATTTATTCATAGAATTACAGCGATAACTTGGCCCGTTGGTGTAAATAATAGTATAATACCCGTAGAAGCGTTGTAGTTCATCGTATTACGTATTTCTAAATTCTTACTACGTATTAATTGTAGAATATTTGATATTATATTATATTCTAACAAATAATAATGAATTTGATTATAATATTTAGTATAGTTGTGGACCATTTACGTTAACAAATACATAACAATAATTTAATTATTTTATTGGATTTCATCATCAAGTAAAGTATAATATACAGATATAAGTACCTACAGTAACTTCTTTTATTACAAACATTTATTTAAAAATTGTAAGACATTTATTGATTTATTGATTTATTGAATTATTATGTTATTTGTTGGCTTTAAAAAAGGTAGGTAGGTATTAGGTATAATTATAAATAGGTAACAAATTATTAATTTTATTAAAAAAAAAAAAAAGTAACTTATTTTTAACTAAGTTAAGTTACTTTTATTTTCTAATTAACTTGTACCTTTCACAAATTAAAAAAAAAAAATAAAGTTAACTTTTAACTTTAAACTTAATTTACATTTTTCTATATTAACTTAACTTAACGAGTTAAAAAAAAAAATAGTTAACTTGCCCAGCCTTGGTATTAACTAATAAGTATTATAATATAATATTATGGTGTATAACTTTTATAGGTAGTTAGTAAAACGTTGATATTCATAATGTGTATAGCGCAACACTAATATTATAATGTACATTACGCTATGTAATGGATATTGATACATCATAATATTTCATAAGTATTGAATATTATTTAATCGTGATAACTTTTACTAGCAATATGTAGCAGGTACAATAACGACAAACTTATCGGTGAGTGATTAACCGAGATATTGATATACTCTCTATGATATTTAATAACTGAAGTGTTAATTAAGATGGAATGTACCCAAAGTGTAGGCTGTATGTAAGTTTGTAATAACTGATAAATATTTACAAACCATATTAACATATTATGTAGGTAAGCGTACATGGAAAATGAAAGACTAATATTTTCACAATTTGCATAAGTGAAAATATTAATTCATTAACATATATCCCTTCTCCCATTTTAGAAAAAACTCATCATGTGATATGCCACACGACACTGCATACTCAAGTGCATGTTATATAGTATAGTGTAAACGCCTATCTGAAATATTATTATAAGCCTACTGAAATTTAGTGTGAGAACAAGTACAAGTGGTGTATATTATTGTCTAAAAACATTTCGAAAACTGTAATAAAATATGAAGAGACTTATACGATTATATTTTTAAATTTTGATATGACAAAATAAAAAATTGTAGACTGATTTTATTTTATACTGTCGTCGCATTGGGATTTCTAGTGATATTGATAATAGAAATTAATATACCTAAAAGTAGATAACATTTGTAAGTTACTTATTGGAATACTATAGATTATAATATAATGTTGGGTACCCTTGTAGCATGCTAACTACATCTACTTCGTAGGAGTAGTATGCTGCCTTCCGTAAAAAGCTACCTATATACCTGCCGAAAAAGTTTACGCGTGCTTACCATTTTTACATACCTATACCTACTGCAGATTAATAACAATTTTATTAACTAAAATGTACTTACTGTATTGTTTATGATCATAATATTGACAATTATTTGAATACGTTATAATATATTGTTATGCTGTGTTTACGTCATCCCAGGTAGCACACTACACGAGTTCCTATAATGTTGTAATAAAATGCTCTATCGTGTTCAGGTAAACACGTGGAATTGTTGAAATAACTTGAAACGGTATTGGTGTCGTAACTCGATTTTCATGGTACCTACTTAACCTCTATTATATAGATCGCAAAATTTAAAATATTTTTATACAATACACAGACTCCCGTGGCCAATTTAAAAGCGCGTCAACAGTTTGCAATCGAGAGTTATGACAATTGATTGTTATTAATACTAATGATTGTGTTAGTACCATACACTGATGGATGTTGGCCGACAATATATTATAACAGTATGGTAATTAATTAGTCGCGATCGTTTAATTGGACGTCTGAAATAATTATTATCCGGACATTCATAGAAATAACTTCAACCACAAACAGTGTCGTCGATACTGCCACCACCTAAACGTCAAGGTGGTGTTTTTTAAATTTTTTTATATACTGTTGTCGATTGTTCGGTTTTAAAATGAACAAAAACAAGCCAAAGGGTAATTACATTTTTCGATAGCTTTAGGAAAATTAAATTTTAGTGGAGTAATATTAAAAAGAAATGTGAAAATTATATTATGTTTATTTTAGACGTCGAGGATTCCGCTTTCCTTGTTGCTCAACCACCTGTACACTTGGACGAGGCAATTGAAATGGTTGGTAAGTGAATTCAAATTGGTACTTATACTATTTATTTTTTATGTTTTTCAAATTATCAGTCAATAAACGTTTATACATATAGTTAAGATAGCCGAGTAAATTTTTTAATTGATCGGAATCGTTGTTTAAATTAAAAAGTTAAATCGATAGGTAAAAACAATTTTATATTACTTATAATAAGCAAACTAATATTTGTTATATTACAGTAAGCAATTTAATCAAACATATTGGTATTATTTTTTGGTTTTTGGATAGGTATTTAATTTATTTCAATTTTAAATATCTACTATACATTTAAATAATCAGCTACCGATATTGAATATATTACTTAAACTGTGTTTTTATTTACTAGAATAATACAATTTTATTGAGGATTTACTATAGTTATAGATACATTTTAAATTATAATACATAAATATAAAATAAAAACGGGGATGTCGTTTTGCTGTCTAGCAATTAGAAGGGGTCGAGCACGGTTTAAGATAGAATCTCTTATATATATCTTAAACTATGGTGCCGAGTGTACATTCTCAGTGAATAGGTTACTGTAATGGTCAATGGATATGTAAATTTTTAATTCAATGATAAATCATTACATAGGTACGAAAAACGATTCGGAGCGGAGACCTAAATCAGAAGCGGAGGTCTCCCAGCCCCGATATTTCTATTTTTCAGGAATATTTTACTATATATTTAAATTTCTATTAGTAATTTATTTTTCCAACGGTAAGAAGAAATAATTTTTGAAAAAAACAAACCGCATACATTTCATTAAATATTACATTTCTATTTGTTATTTAATAATAAGTCGACACTGACGTACGGTAGTTGAATGGCGTGTAAATAGGTTCGTGGAATAATTATCTTAAAATTAATCTAAATGTTTTTAAAATATCATTGTGTATAGTAAATAATAAAAGTTAATATATGTAGACATGGAGTGGCTAAAAGTTTCAAGTCCCTATAGGAATAATATTTTTTGAATTACAACAAAATTATTCATTTTTTATAAATGTCAAATTTTGTCAAAATTAGACTTTCAAATATAAAATGTTGTCAAATATAGACTTTCAAATATCAATAAAAATAATTACGCCTTGCTGTTTTCAATATTTGTAAATTACTATATATATACTTATGATGAGAAATCATGTTCTACATTTTCAAGCTTTTTGACCAAGCATACTATTTTTTAAATTAATATTTATAGAAGAAAAATCAAAATTTTTAAATGCACTATAAATACTAAATAGCTTAAAATAAATTAATATTTATAGAAAAAAAATCAAAATTTTTAAATGCACTATAAATAGCTTAAAATTAGTATAAATATTTTGAAAATATCATTGAGCATAAAAATGGTGATATTTTGATAGAAATCCGAAATACTGTAAAGTTTCAGGTTTCTATAATTTTTTTTTTTTGGAATAATAACAAAATAACAAAATAAAAATCGTTATTTTACGTGTGAACAATAAATATCGCCAACTCGAAACGCTTATAAAAAAAAATTGTGGCTATGTATTTTCAATATTTATTAATGGATTTCGGTAGTAACAACTTGTGACGACCTTGTGCTGAATACAATTTTCAAGCTTTTTTACTCACAAACAAAAGTTTTATTTTATGTACAAAAAAACAGGAAAAAATCAATTTTGTTGAAAACGTTTGCGTTATTTCCAGTTTTTTTCTATTTTTTTTTTTTTTTGTTGGTTTATTACAGGACATTTTTACTTTTGACCCCTCAAAGTACCAACTAGATCCAATTCGTTACCAGCAACCACCTTCCAAGTTTTAGATTGTAATATTTTTACCTCTCCTGAATAAGGTGACGTCGGTCATATCAAAAAAAAATTCATAATTTTATCGTTCCGCTCAGATTCTAAAATCTTAGAATCCATATAGATATCTTATTAGTTTTTCAAATGTATATTAATGTAATTAGTGATTAAAAATTGTAACGTTACATTTTATAAATTTATAAATAAATATACTAATAAAAAATTAACACATTTTAACATATTTTATAGGGTTTGGAAGTTTTCATTATTACATATTATTTATTTGTGGGTCACTTTTTGCGGCGGTCGCCATTAGCGTGACGTCAGTGTCTTTTGTTGTACCGTCAGCACAATGTGATTTTCAAATGACTTCTGTCCACAAAGGCATCCTCAATGGAGCTTCGATGATTGGTACGTATATTTTGTGCAGTGGGTGAAAGTTATTCATTCTATATGTTTTTTTTATTTCAGGAATGTTCACGGGATCTTTTATTTGGGGTTACGTTGCTGATTCCAGAGGCAGAAGATATGCATTGATATTGAGTATGACCATGGATGGTGTTTTCAGTATCATTTCCAGTGTATCTCAGATCTACCCAGTGTTAATATTCTGCCGACTGATGAGTGGATTTGGGTAAATCAAACATATACCTACCTATTAAGAACATATCCTAACCTATATTATTATACAACCGGCGTGCGCATGATGAGTGCAGCAGATGGCAAGCATTAAGTATATTATAATGCTACTGCTACAACAGGACCTTCGTTTTTAGACTACGGACGCTAATTAATAAATATTTGGTATACTTATTTTAATTTCTTGAGATTTAATTTTGCCAATTTTGGCAAATTATGATTGTCATATCTGGGTTAGGTATCGTATAGTTTAAATTAGGAATCTATATATGATTGGTTTCATAATGTTTATAATTGTGGTGAGGGTTACTATAGTTCGGTTGAGGGTTACCAGTTCGAATATGATCTATCCGAAGGTCATCATATGTTCAAATATTAACTGGCCGAATGATCATATCATAAAATGTTTGAAAATATGTTTTGTGTACGAAAGGTCGAGTGTTCGAACATTTGAAATATAATTATATATTAAATCGTTGACTACCCTTGTAATATATTATAAGAATTCATCGTATAATATTGGGGTGATATATTATCGATTATATACGGGTGTCTCCCATAATTCAACATGTTTTTTACACTTTTCTCAATACATCTATTTCTGCAAAATATACAAAATCAAACATTGAATCAAATTTTAGTTTGAAATTAATTTAATTACGTATTCTTTTAAATGAGCATTGGGTACGATATTACGGTATAATATTTACGTTAATAATTTAAATTTGTAATATTATTGATGTGTAAGTAGCCTGAATAACCTGATGTATAACTTTTAAGATTGACAAAAATACAAAAAAAAATTTATATGTTTTTATTTCGAACACTCGATCTTTTGTAAACAAAATATTTCTAACATTCGATTATTCGGCCAGTTTATGTTCGAACACGCCATGACCTTCGGACAGACCATATTCGAACTGGTAATCTTTTCCCTTATAATTCATTTGTTTGTTTTCCGAGATGCTGTGAAGACTTTTTTGAGTACATATCTGTTATAAAAGCTCCAAAAAGCTTCACCACGTAAACATCACCATTTCATCTACATAATATATTGGAAACTTTTAAAATTTTTCAAAGTGTAAGGAAGAATTATTACAAAACTGCGAACAATTTCGAAGAAATGTATAGACAATAGTACGTTAGGATACGATTTGATCTCAAAATAAGGCACGCCTATACTATTATCTGCACTTATTGAGATAATATATTTATGTAAGATATTAAGATGCATGGGCGCCCATTTAATTTTTTTCAGGGGGGTCAAACTTCATATAGAATTAATTTTTTTTAATTTCACACAACATTTTCCAGGCGCAACAATTTTCAAGGGGGGCAAGTGACCCTCCTTGTCCCCCTTAAGGGCACCCATGTTAAGACGTCATTACAGTATATTCTAAAATATATATTTTTTGTGATTATACAGAGTGTCCGGCGCTACAGTGCTATATTCTTACCTAGGAGAGTTCGTAAACACCAAATATCGTGAAAAATTTCTATGCTGGATGGAAATGTTCTGGACGGGCGGTATAATTTTACTTCCATGTGAGCATTATACTATTTTAACAATATCTATAGTCACCCTTCCTGGTACGGAGCTTGTCCTTGACCCTAGCACAAAATTTGCTTTCGGCGTCGACGGCGAAGTGACGTACACTTCGTAGGGTATCGTCCTCGAATGTGGTTCCGTCAGCGAGGTTTAGTGTTGGTGGACACTGGACAGTCACGTATTGCTATGTATATATTCATATAATAATATTATACAATACTTATGGTTTAAAATTAAATTAATTAATACAATTACTAGAGAGGTAACATTATATTTGTAGGTACAAGTATACATACATATTTTCTAAAATGTTCGCAATTATTAGTACTTTCATGACTGCGAAATCCGAGTAGCTTGTAATATTATATATGGGACTTTATATGCAATAAAAATCTATGAAATATGCAGTTTCATATCATAACCATACAAAAATATTAAAAAATAAATAGATAATGTGACTATCAAGGAAAAATTATCAGCACCTACTTTAACGAGTGGTTGATTAAATAAATAAAAATAATTTGAACAATTTTTTAATCATCTTTGTTCTATAATAATAATATTAATTAGGTAACTGAAAACTGTTTAGTCTATTGCCGATAATATACGTATTATATTAATTTATGTAGGTACATATTTTTAAATTTACAACTTTAGGTAGGTATATACAATAAAATTAATACCCACAACAATAATTAATAAATTTAATAAAATAATTCAAAAAATAACATTTTAATATTTTTTTAGGCGTGGCATGGTTGATTATACCACAAACATTCAGAATTGAATATGGATTCTTTTTATTCAGGTCATGGAATTTATTTGTTATTATATGTTCTCTACCGAGCATAATATTGGCATGCTTGTTGGTGAGATTGCCGGAAAGTCCAAAGTTTTTACTCGCCAAGGGTAAACACGACGAGACCATCGATTGCTTGAAATACGTTTATAGATGGAACCATAAGGCTGACAATAAATTTCCGGCGAGTTTAATTATAATTTAGTCACTATAGTGCTCTACAGGACGACTTTCAACAATTAATATTTACGACAACACTTCTCACTTAATTTTTATCTGGTCGTTTTAGGTGACTACGTTAATGTTACCTGATTGCATAAACAAACAAAGTAATGGTTTCTTTAACGGGCTCTACGAGAGTACTGTTGGTTTGTTCACGTCTAAGTACAAATTTATAGCTATAATCACGTGCGTTATACAATTTGGCGCAACTACCAGGTAAAACCCATTCGTTTAGCGAATGTTGAGAATTTTCAATGTGACAGACATCGGCGTAGTTAGTCACACGTCCATTATTGTTTGTTCGCAGTTATTATATGTTGACGCTGTGGTTTCCAGAGCTAATGAATAGGTTTCGATGGTATGAAAAAACATATGTAGGCCCGAAAAACATGACGACTATGTGTGAAATCGTATCCATCTTTAAGATCGAGCCCGAGGTGACACACCAAAAGTGTAATGATGATATTGACGAATCGGTGTACATCAACATTGTCATTATTGGAATAGCGTGCATACCAACAAGTCTTATCGTGCCACTGTTCGTTAACAGACTAGGACTCAGGTTTTTTTTAGGTACAGATATTTTATTTTTAAACTAACCATTGATTCAATATTTTTTATATATTATTAAGAATGTTTTCGAGTGAAATTAATATTGAAAAACTACCAATGATTGATATCTTTAATTACATATTTACAATACTTTATATTAATTAATAGTTTATTACTGACTATGAAGGTAATATTTCACACTTTATCGGTTATTTGATTCAATTACATTGTATTACGTACACATTTATGACACTCATTTTTCTAATTGTTAAAACTACTTAAACTATAATTAAAAATATTCTTAGATAGGTAACTGCAATAATGTTTAGTCTTAATATTTTATAATAATATAATATTTATAAATTTTAAAATAAAGTGAAGGAATCATGATTCAATTATGAATTAAGACAATGGAACAGATAACGTTCATATTTTATTCAATAGTAAAGATATTATAGAGTGAGTTGTCTGAAGGGAGAAAAAATTGATTTTATTGATATCTGCAAGGGCGCCCATCTTTGAAAATCCAGGGAGGACACTATTTTTTCAATAATATTGACCTTTCTGTTAACCTGTTAACTGCTATATGTAAGTTTATGTAGCATAATATTATATGACCATATTCATACAATAGTATTTATCAATTTCTAATAAAATGTAAAGTACATAACACATAAAAATACACTTTGTTATTTAAGTTATATATTTTACATTTTATTAGAAATTTAAGTACCTAATCTTATTTATTTTATAAATAATTATATAGTTATGATAAATTGATAAATACTATTGTATGAATACAGTCATTATATAATATGTTAAGTTTATTTTTTGAAAATTCATCAACAACATTTTCAACTAAATTTAAATCTTAAATCTCAACTGTCTATGTATACTAAGCATACATAATCCAGATAATAAATTACATTAAACTTATTATTAAGTTTAGTATTTATTTTTTTGTTTTGTGGCATCGACGAAGCTGTCGGAACTGCTTAAATATTACATCGACAGTTCCGAAATCGTTTATTAATTCTGTAGTAGGAACACTACTAACTTTAATTGTATTTCTGTTTTATCTAGTGGTAAGCTTTTTAGGATCAGGTCTGTCCGCTGCTTGCTTATACTTCATTACTTCTACACTCGAGAATCTCGTTTTATCTTCAATGTTTGCAGCCCTTTCCAGCGTGGGTATTAGTCTTATGTATTGCATCGCCGTCGAATTGTTTCCTACAGAATACAGGTAAGCTTTGGCATAGGCGAAAATCCATTAAAATTTCAGGGGAGCTAACATTATTAACATAAATGTGAGTCCCCCGTTTCGATCCTATAAAACTAAAAAAGTTGTGGGCTTGACAGAGTTTTTTTTTTTTTGGGGGGGTGGGGGGCAAGTCACTGAGCTTTGGAGTTAAGTTGAAAAAAATGATTATTAATTCGTATTTTTTTTCCTAGGGGAATGGCTGTATCCATAGGTTCTACGTTTGGAAAAGTAGGCGCACTTATGGGTAATGTCATCGTTGGAGTATTTATCGATGAGCTTTGTGCAATTCCAATTTTGGTATCATGTTCATTTTTAATAAGTAAGTAACTACAACATTTTTGAATGTATGTTAATATAACTAATAAGTAATAATATGTGTTATACATATATATTGTGTATGCAGTCAATAAAGTATATTGTATATACCAATACCTACTATTTTAAGTTATAACTACCTAGTCCACTCTTCTAGTTTTAACTTTAAATGTGTTTTTTTTTTTTATTAATATATAATAAAATAACATATTGAATATTGATACCTACTTTCAAAACTATTAAATACCAACTAATTTTAAAAGAATAATTGAGGTTATAATTTGTTAAAATCAATTTTAAATTATTTAATAATATTATAAGTATCAACGTAGACCTATATGACCGTACATGGTATTTATGAACCAATGGACCATAAGACCAACGGCGCAAGAAAAGGATAATAACATACCTATAGGTACCCAATAGGATAAGGTAATTACATTCTTTCTGATGTTAGGAGGGCACCCACGAGGTTAAATAATTGAGAAATAATGAAATATACACTATTATTTAGTACACAAATATTAAATATATAAATATATTAAATCTTACTGATAAATATCTTACCATCGTAGTATCTTACAATCTATATACTGCCTATGGACTATGCCGAAGTATGAATTGAGGGGACGAAAGAAATAAGAAAGGCACAGTTCACTGATTACTGCTCGTTAGAATAATCCTTGCTATCGTATGCAGGACTTGGTACCTTAGGACTGGAGATCGGACGACATGATCGCGATGACCAGCGAGTGGTAGTTTGCTTATACAAAGGACTCTGTGCTTAGAAGTTAGAGTAATGCTTTGCGCTATATTTGTCTTCGATGTCGGATCCCTTTTTTGGCAGTCCGTTCTCTCTGCTGATATAGATGAAGGTCATACTCTATTATTAATACGATATTCATGATATAAACGACTGAATTGCATCAGTGTTGTACATATTTTATTATGGGGATGGATAATTCGCTGCTTCTGACTAAATAGCTGTTTGTTGGAAGAAAAGTTCATCAGATGAATGATAATTAAATGAGTAGGGCTACGCATAGGCGAAAATGTAACCAAACAATTATTATAATTACTGAGTATATTATGGATGGAAAGATACCAAGAGGAAATGAGTGAAGAAGATAAGTTGACAATATCATATACCTAGACCTACTGAAGGTGCTAACACTGATGGTAGATGAAACAGATTGGAATACTATAAAGAATAAATATATTTCGGATGGTAAATAAAGAACTTCGACGGATCGTAAAGCCAAAAAAAAAGTCAAGAAATAAATGTCTGTAGGTAGTCTTGTGAATATTAGATGTTAGGATAATTTAATTCTTTCTTAATATTCATAATATTAAATTTAGAAATAGGTTTATTACTATACCATTTATTTTATGTTAATAACATTAACTGTTTAGTTTCAGGATTGCTGGTACTAACATTACCAAAAACTGGGAGGACAAACATACAATGAAATTATAATATCTAATGATATTACTTTTAATTTGTGTCATTGAAAAATAGTATATCGCCTCGTTTCACGATTTTGTAAGAAAACAAATTTGTATAAGAACTAATGATTTGTAGAAGTAGAGAGGTTATTGTATTACTATATTTTGTGTTTTATTATTTATTTTATAACTTTGTTTTCCGAGTATTTAAATAATAACGTTTTACATACATTTATATTGAAAGTCAAGAAAGATATTTGGAATTAAAATAAATAATACAAGCATTTTATTTTAAATTTTCCCTATGTTTTGGATATTGTTACTTCATTAGTTATAATTACGTTTTTTACTAATATTGAATATTAATTGTGTAATTAATTGAATACAGTTTTATTATTAATATTACCTATTTAATAGTATTTACTATTTTTATACCGTTAAATTACTGAATTAGTTCAATATTGCTATAAATTAATGTATAGATATTCGATTAATTTGTATAGGTATAGTATACGCTCAGACACCGAAACATATTATAATATACGACTATACACGATTTATGTAAATATAGTATTCTCATATTATTCTTGTTAATGTAAATGCACATTTAATGTCCCATCAATTATGATGATTATGATGATTATCCACTCATTAGAGTGGAGCTTTGATTTTTATCAAACGCGTATCATTTTGAAAACCTGTGACACATATCCCTCGTTTTATCGACCCAAGTGAATGTTGATATTTATACTTGATCCGGTCCAGTTAAGGAGAAGTCGGATAGCTAATTCCTTCTACAATAACCGATCAGGGAACCTGCAGGTTGTATTATTAGAATGATTAAAGTTTTCTTAGTTATATTTTACTGGGCCTAGATAAACCAACCTTAAAAACCAACAAAATTTAGCAAATTGTGCAACGGTTTATTTAAGGTCTAAAATACAATATTGTGCTCTATCACCCGAGTAACCGTGTTCTTAAGGGTGGTTTAATTTTAAATCAAATGAGTAACTGAGTATCTACCAGTTAAAGAATTAAATTTGTTATTATGTGATGGCGAAATGTATTATGATTATTGTAGTAGGTTGGTAGGTTGTAATGAGTTGTGGTAGGTTATTAGTTACTTATTACACTAAAAGTAAATTGATTTAAAATGTATTAACGAACATCGTTTGAAAGCTTAGAAGATTCTGATCAATGAATACTAGCTAGATCGAATAAATATCATCCTGATAATTATTTAACATTATTAACAAAGGTATTTATCACTTGCCTAAAACCCGAGAGGTGGAAAATCGAAATAATGATAAGTATTGATATTATTAGAACGTGAACACGTTAACTAGCCAAAAATAATGTGACTGATAACGTCATAATAATATATATTATAATACTATTATAATACATAAGTTGTAACAGCTACGCCCTCCCGCATGATTGCAGATCTACATTAGCGATGAAAACTCATATGGTCCCTATCACCCTCTGCGGCCACTTTAATACTTTATAGTTGTTCATCTTTCTTTCCCATGTGACACGCATGTGCACCTTGCACAAAGGAAATGAATTGAATAATAGAAAAAATATTTTTCTTAAGTTTTTATATAAAAAAAAAAGATTTGCAAAGCATAAACATACAAAAAAATTACTTATAAAATAAAAAATTTTGTCAAAAAATGTACTTAGGTATAACTAAAAAATATCTAAACAATACAAAATAAAATTCAACATTATACTGCTTCTATTTCACATCAAACGAATTTATAATTTGGTCTGCAATTTGAGGCCAAAATAAAATAACCAGGGCGTCGAATGTACATCTTCATTCTGCAGTAGATCACTGGGTGATGTGTGAAATTTAAATTTTATAACAAATCATTCTATACGGAAAACTATTCTGAGCGGAACCTCAGCCTACATCCCTATGGGTATATTATTATTTATTATACAGGTACCTATTTATATTGATATTATTACAATATTAGTAATTATTTTTTTTTCATTAAAGTGATAATGATACAGCAGTAGTTTAAATATATTATTTTTTTTTTTTTTTTAAACGATTCACATATATTTATTTAAATAATAATTATTAAAATATTTTATACATAATAGTAGCTGTCATTAATATTATAAGTCAATATAGGTAGGTACCAATTATCGTTATATGTATCAGAACCCAGAACTTTGTGAATAGAATTGTGGTAGTGTACTAATGTGGTACCTATAATATATTATATAATCGAACGTGTCCTGAATCTAAAATAGAAAAAAAAATAGATGATAAAATAAAATAAATTTAACTAGCTAGAAATAGCTGATCTAAAATAGAGCCTAAATTATGATAGTTGGGAATTTGACATTTTGACAGTACCTTCGTACCACCGTGTAATGGTGCACTATATAGTATATAGGAAAGGATTTTCCAAAATTAGTATTGTAAAAAGGTGGCTTGTAGAAGAATTTTGAGATTCACGATGGAAAGACAATTTTTTTTTTGTATTTAATTGTTGCCATTGGTTATACAGATTATAATAGTACTAATAGTTGTTGAAAATAGTAGACATTTTTATTGTTTTTTTTTATATAATAGTTGCCACTGGTTACATAAAATAAAATAATTATTAGATAATGATTGGATATCCTATTAAGGGTCCTGGTCGTGACTTTTCAAATTTTCCACAATTCTATACAATTTGAAAATTAAATTTTATATTTTAGTTGCCACCTCAATTATAAGACTTTTCCACTAATCTACTACCCAATACCTATTTAGGGGGGTTGATAGGGTGTATTATATCGATCAAAACACACTTTACAGGAAAAACTCTCACACCTCGTAGATTGGTCCGATTTCCGTAATTTTTTTTTGTTAGATAGAAGAATATTTTTTACAGGGGGCATTGGGTTTTGATTTTTGATTACGTTGCTAAAAATAAATAATAATACAAAAACTAAAAAGTTGTAAAAATGGATTAAATTCAAACTTGTAATATAAGATTTCGAAAAATTATTTTGAAAATCCAAGTCCAATGCACCCTGAAATAAGTCTCCCTTTATTTAACAAAAAAAAAATTATGGAAATCGGACCAATCTACGGGGCGTGAGATTTTTTCCTGTAAGGCATGTTTTTGAGAAAAAAACAGGTCGCGGGCAGGCCCCTTAATATTATAAATGTGAAAGTCTGTGACTTTGTTACTCTTTCACGTAAAAACTACTGAATGGATTTTAATGAAACTTTACAATAATATAGCTTATACATCAGAATAACACATAGGCTACAAATCATCATCCTATATCCAACCAGGGGATGTGCTCAAACGGGGATTTAGAGATTTACGGTGGAATTTTTTGTTTATAAATGGTTGCCATGGGTTTTAAAACTACGAGACGAGTATAAACTATTATTGGTTGCCGTGAAATAAGTGTATTCATTCAATGCAAATAATTTTTTTGTAAGCCGCGTTATGTATCACAATTACGTAAATATTGAGCGTATTATACTCACATATAAGTTACGTACATGGTACATAAAACAATCACCACGATGTCAAGTATTCATGGATGAGGAGGAAATATTGGTCGACAGACTCGGCATTCACAATTAGTCCAACCGTTTAGGAGAGTTCAGTAACATACTTGGTATAACTTTGATACTTTAGAGTATAGAATTTTTATTCCGGGCAACGGAAAAGTTAAGATAAATTTTGAACACCATACACTGAATATTAAATAACGAATCGAACAAAGTTTGAGTCAAATAGAGTTGATACATTTAACGGGTAACAAAGTGTACGGGATCAACTAGTAATTATATAAATGTAACAGTTATTATATATTTTTGTAACGAAATTGAACAAAGTTTGAATCATATAGGTATTATAAGAGTTTGCATTTTTACGGGCAACGAAGTGCATGGGCCATAGGGTCAGAAGATTAGGGTTTAAGATAAATCTGAATACTTTGGAAATCACATTAAGTATATAAGTATATTAAATAATTATTTGAGAAGTTTCAACTTTTCAAGTCCAATAAAAATTTTTAAATTACAGCAAAATATCTAAAAATCCTTATTTTTTGTTTAAATATCCAATTTAATTGACAACCCATCACTGAATGGTTCTTCCCCACGTGCCTTCAAATCTTCTGAATATTGTATGAAATAAATAAAATATAAATGTCTACACGTTTGTTTATAGTACAACGCATAACCACGTATCATTGTTTGAATCGGATTGCTCAGAATCTAAAATACGTAAAAATCATAGACATCCTAATTATGTAATCATAATAAATAATAATGAAAAATTAGTTTTGTGTTTTTCTTTAAATCCCATTTTAAGTTAAGTTCGGTTTAAAAAAAAGTTACTATTTAGTATATTATATTTTTAATTCTACAATAATATTTGTACATTTTATACATATTATTATAGTCGTGTTAAGATTAAATTTGATAAAATTACCATAATATATAGTATAATATATACTAACCTACCTATCAGCTATTGTGGTTAGAATTGTTATTACAATAACCATATCGATTACTATAGATTGTGATATGCTATTTTTTGTGAATGAAAAGAGCTTGAAGTTATCTTTTGTATTCTGTCTTGTACTTTGAGGCTTTGAGCTCTAAATTAAATTTTTCCTGGTATAATATTATGTAACATATCGAATTAATTTTAATTGGACATTATCTATTGGTGTGAATTCACGTGAACATATGTGGGTATTTCTTTTCTCAGTACTTACCATGCTATATATTAATATGAATATTTACTTGCTCAATGACGAAGGAGAACAAATAATCGTAATCAATGAATGCTAATTGAACGATCGAGATCGTAGTGATTCGTGATTATTATACCTATACACAAATAGTTACAACAAAGTAAATACAATTTTTACAAAAACAAAAACGAAAGAGCGAGTTTGCTTGCAGACTGGTCACTATATAATATTCAGGAGTCTGCCTTAAAATATTAATAGTGCGTATATTAAATGCACACACCCAGGGCCGGAT